GTTCCTTAACAGCAACCCAGTCACATACTGCTGCACTCGGTCCAGGGGCACCTTTTGCCGGTCATGATGGCCTCAGGGTTCAGGGTTCAGGGTTGTACCAAGCTTAGGGTTTAGGATGTAGGGTTGTACCAAGTTTAGGGTTTAGGGCTGTACCAAGCTTAAGGTTTAGGGCTTAGGGTTGTACCAAGAGCTTACCTCTGGTCAGCGATGAATGATGGAATGGATCTCTACACTAATTCCCATATGAGCCCCGATAGCCTATCCTTTATGTTCTTTCCTATTCCTTCACAGATGCAAATGGAGGGCCTGCCTTTTCAGACTACCGTGACACATGCAAAGGAGCCCCTGGCAACGGCCATGAACAGGCCAACATTGTTTGGACCACAACTATTCAGTAATTATTCTTCTTGCTGCCATTGAGGTGGCTAGTCTTCTTCCTATTGTTACTGTAGCCTCTTAGTAGCTGTAGCAAGAATAGAAACCTGAACCCTGAACCCCTCAGCGCCTAAAACCCTAGACCTCTAAAAGGGGCTCTGCCGAGGCATTCACAAGGTAACATGGGATGGCAATCCTATTCCCCCAAAAGCAGGAGCCTATGATAGTCACATGCTAGCTATGGGATCCTAACTTTAGGGATCGGGGCTGCCAAAACCCTGTCATTACTATGCAGGGCCCACTACAATGCATCAAAAACTTCACCTAAACCTGAAGCCCTAAACCCTAAAACAAACCTCACCCCCGGACCCTACAAGGACCAACAAACGTATGCGCATGGTATAATGCAGCTAGATAATGGTTGATACTAGGATTATTGCATAACCCTAAATACCTTAAACCTTGGGAATTGTGGTACGATAGTCTAATAACAAGGTCATGCAGGATGTCTAAGATCAACAGTAATTACCAATGTCATATTGAAGCCTATTTGCGGAGGGTACCTGACAAACTATATAAGGAACCTAGGGAAGCATAATATTGGTAAAAACCACGCCGCTGGAGCCACGTCGTTTAGGGTTTAGGGCTTTGGGGTTTGGGTTTAGGGTAGGGTTTAGGGTCTAGGGTTTAGGGCCAGGGGGGCTTAGTAAGTAGGCTATAAGGATTAATAACCTACTCACTTAATCCCCCTCACCCTCCAAGCGGTTCCTCCTTTCGGATACTCGGACGTCTAATTCTATATTTTAGAGCTTCTTGGGATAGCTACAGAACCTAAAAGTGGATTATAACTCTATACTCCTTAGCGGCTCTTATCATTAACAAACAGAACCTGAAATGGGTAATGGCTCCAAATTCCGTCTTGGTCTTATAACGAAACCAAACCTTAGGTTGAATCTTCAACAAGGACCTACACCTAGACACCCTAAGCCCTAAGTCCTAGGTCCTAAACCCTAAGCCCTAAACCCTAAACCCTAAACCCTACACCCTAAATCCTAAACCCTAAACCCTAAATCCTAAACCCTAAATTTTTGAAGCCTAAACTTCCCTAGCTCCTAAGTCCTTTGGCTCCCCCCATCCTGCAGAGATATCCTCGATTTCGAAACTCAGCTGGGTCTTGGAAGTATAATCCTCCCATGTTCTCTCATCTTCCTGCGCGAATGGATGTAGGGTTTAGGACGTAGGGTTGAGGCTTTAGGGCTTAGGGTTCAGGACTTAGGGTTTAGGGCTTATGACTTAGGATTTAGGGTTTAGGGCTGAGGGCTTATGGACATACTAAACACAACTTTGGGGACCATTCTGGAAGGAAATATGGGGACATACCACGTACATGTATACGCACGCATAAGATAGTACGGGGATACACAGGAACATTTAGGGAAACGTACGGATATAAAGGGGTGGGGATGTATATATATATATACACATATACGTAGATATTCTCTAAGTTTAAGATACTTACGCATGTTTCATATGGATATATACATATAGAATTAGAGCTTAGCGGGTTCGAATCATGGTTTGCCCAGTTCAATTGCAGATTCCCCCAGTTAATTTGGGGTTTAGGGCTTAGGACTCGCAGTTTAGGTTTTGGGGCCTAGGGTTTAAGGTTTGTAGGTCTTCAGGTAATCACAAGCCAACTATAAATGGTAGTTTGAAGTCCGATTATCATCATGCTTAAGGGGGCTAGTTCTCACTAGGTTACACTTACCCTGAAGGTTCAACGCTAGACCCTCAACCTAAATCTAGGGATTATGCGAGGGTCCGGGGCTAGAGGTCTTCATAGGTAAATGGATAAGGAATAGTTTGATAAGTACCCAAGACCGAGCAGCGGGGAGTTCCATTTCAAGCGCGTTCTGCCCTCTCAAGGCTAAGCCCAGCAAGCCCTAAAACCTAACGTAGACCCATCATTGATAATAACCCCCCTCCAATTAATAGGGACTATAATAGGGATCCTAATATTACGGCCCTTAAAAGGAAGGGGTTTATTAATCAGGGGTCTACATTACATCATGGGAAACATCCCCAATCACGGCGCGGCATCCATACAAACCCGTAACCCTGAACCCTAAACCAACGCTAGCAAAATTCTTCACAAAAATTCTTCTCCCCTCACAATCCTTAAGTGACTGCAGTATACTCCAAAACACTGCTCTGGTTGAATAGTTGGGGTTTAGGGTTTAGGGTCTTGGGTTTAGGGTTTAGGGTCTTGGGTTTAGGGTTTAGGGTCTTGGGTTTAGGGGTTTGGGTTCGGGGTCTACATTCTATCCTGTCAGAAACCATTCTACCCTGGCAAAAACCCACATCAGCCCAGTCTGAATTACACTTTCCGCTACTCGCCTTTGCCTTGTACGGTCCGCACCTTTCCCGTCGAAGTCAAAAAACACCCGTCGTTCAGGGTCTGGGGGAGGCTGTAGGGTTTAGGGTTTAGGGTTTAGGGTAGGATTTGGGGCGTAGGGTTTAGGATTTAGGGTTGAGGGTTTGGGGTTCAGGATTCAGGGTTTGGGGCCGCCGCGTAGCTTACGACTTCAATACTTGTCTCCTACCAAGAACCATGAACTGCCACGCACTACATCTTGCAGTACGCGATAATTGCAGTTTTTTTTTGTAGTTGATCAATATCTATTCCGGAAAAGAGCTTTCCCCAGTCTATTTCCTTCTAGACCTACAGGATCTAAACCCTAAACCCTAAACTTGGGAGAAATTCTCCATCCATTGTATCTGCCTACTGGAAACCCCAAGCCTTAACCGCGCATCTAGGGTTTGGGGGGTTTTGGGTTCAGGGTTTAGGGTTCAGACCTGTTTTCCTCTGAACCCACCAGGCAAAGTTTTGAATCAGCGCCCTCACTCTGGATTTCGCAAAAGTTGAGACTTCATATAAATCTGTCAAGGTAGAGCTAGCCGCCTAAACTGGCACACTGCGCACGGTACCCTTGACTTTTGTGGACCAAAGCTCTAGACCGTAGGGCTTCGGGCTTAAGATTGTAAACCCCCCGTGTTGTGGTAGTTTCCATTTTCTTTTCCACTACCCCTACATATCCCTATATGCCTCTCCAGATGCCCTATAGACCCTGAACCCTGAACCCTAAACCCTAAAAGACCCTGAACCCTAACCCTAAACCCTAAAGACCTTAAACCCTAAACCCTGAACCCTAAACCCTAAACACTAAAGACCCTAAACCCTAAAGACCCTAAACCCTAAACCCCCTAAACCCTAAACCCTAAAGACCCTGAACCCTAAACCCTAAACCCTCGGGTTTAAGGCCTTTGAAGTAGTTGATGAATCTGA